AAAAAAAAAAGAGGGAGAAAAAATCACGAAAGGTTAATCTACCCCAGACGCGGTGCCGGCGCGTTGGGTCGGCGCGTTGCAGCGTGAGACAGGGACGCGGCGGTGGGGCAGGGCAGGGCAGGGCCTGGGCGTGTGATACTGATTTGTGATCGTAGGTGGTTATGGACGGGTTGGATTTGAGAAGTGATGAGTGATGAGTGAGCGGGTGGGAGGGGGAGGACCTGGTGCTGACTGGTGTGGGTGGGGCGGAGATTGGGTTGGGTTTGGTGGTTGTGGGAGGGAGTGAGGTTTTTTTTGGAAGGGGTTTGGGGTGGGCTGTTGGTGTGCGTGATGGCTGTAACTAATCGTCGTCCCTGCGCTGCGAGGTCATCAATCTGGATTGCACGACCAAAGACCCACCCACCCGGCAGCCAGCAGCCAGTCTCGTCGTGTATGGCGTAGAGTGCGCGAACGAGAGAAGAAGCAGCGGCACAGATGATGCAGGAGATCAGAGCAGAGCAGGTAAGTAACTATGTATGGTAAGAACTACATAGGGTTCTAGACTGCTGCTGATACAATGGATGGATGGATGCCGACAGCCAGGACGGCAGGGCGGCAGGGCGGCAGATCGCCCGCGCAGGCCCCAGGCTCTGCGGCAGGGATGCTGGAGCACATCACATCACAGCACATCGCATCTTGCAACGGCGGGTGGCGTTGGCATTGTGGTGGCGGAGGAGATGCGATGCGATGCGATGCGATGCGATGCGTCTTTTCCAAATGCAACGAGACGAGGAAAAGACTAACCATGCTATGGTGTTGAAAGAGGACTGAAGAGAGACATTGGAATGAAAGAAGTACTCTTTACACATGCAAGTCCTCCCTCGCGGCAACAGTGTCCCGACGCAAGGCTCACCATTGACCACACAGCAGCCAAACCAACCCAACCAAACCCCTCACACAAATCACAGCCAAGCACCCGCATCCCCGCCGCATCTACGCTCGCACAAGACCCCACCGACCAGGGAAAACGACCAGCGGCGACGAGAAGAAACGCGCGACTGTGTATGTGTGTAGGAGAGAAAAAAGTAAAAAAGGCAGCAAAAACAACAAAAAAGAGACGAAAAAGAAAGAAAAAGAAAATCACCCAACCAATCAGCCCTATCATTATCATCACCCTTCCAAGCCCCGAACGACACACCGTCGTCGGCTACACAGAACCAGGCACCGAGGCGTACGGTACCACGACGCGCCCCCCTTCCCTTCCCTTTCCTCCTCCTCCTCCTCGCCCCACCTAAGTATCCGCTAGCAGTCAGGGTGACTCATTCGCTGCGCGATGCCGTACGTAGGTAGTATGTGTCCCAGATGCATCAATCAATCATCAATCTCGAAACCTGCTTGCTACTTGATACACACACACACACACACACACACACACACACATGCATGCATGCATGCATGCAACAAGCCGCGCTATCACGGCAGCGCCCTGCATACATACATGCATACATATGACCGTGGCACCGCAGACCTCTGCCGCCACCACCACCAGCAGGCAGTCCCGGTTCCGAGACCCGTTCGTTTTGACCGCAGGTAGGCAGGCAGGGGCGAAGGGAAAGGGTTCGCGCAGACGCGTGTATATAAGCAGTATGTTGGCGCGCGAGGGGGTGGGCTGGTGGTGCGTTGGGTTGCGTTGCGTCGAGTGTTGCTCCTGCCTCTTTCTATTGCTCTTTCCTCCGCACCAGACACGTACGTACAGTACATACACGCCTGTCGTTCGCGTTCGTTTTCTGCTGGCTGCGTGCAGGTGTTCTTGTCTTGTCTTGTCTTGTCTGGCCTTGTTCCGCAGTACCAGTCACTTCGATACCTACCCACCTACCTACCCACCTACCTCACCACCTACCTCACCACCTACCCAGCACCATGAACAGCAGCAGCACCTGGAGCCACAGCGCGCGGAACCGGTACCGCAACCGGCGCACCACGGCCACCATGCCGCGCATCTCGCCCTCGTCGTCTTCGTACAGCATCTCCAGCGACGACAGCAGCAGCGCTACCACCACCACCGCAACCACAACCAGCCACGGCCACGGCCACAGCAACACCAGCACCCGTACCCACAACAGCAGCGTCAGTCACAGTAGCAGTAACAGCAACAACCACAATAACTACGCAAACATTACACCGCCCTGCCTAGCCCTGCCACCCATATCCACCGCCCTCCCCCAACCCCCCCGCCAAACCTACCACCGCAGCGGCATCGGCGGCTTAGGAAACTACCACAAGCCACGGCCCTTCTTCTCATGCAGCGACCTACAGCAGCACCAGCAGCCCCTGCTGCGCGCCTCGCAACCCCCCAGCACCGCGTCCCCCACGGGCGGCGTCTTCGCGTCCGGCATCGGCGGCGCCGGCAACCTGCACCGCGCCGAGTCGCGCGCGCGCCTCGCCTTCGCCGAAGAAGTCGCACGCGGCCGCGCCGTCGCCCGCTCCAATCCCGCTACGTACCATTGCGGGATCGGGGGCGCGGGGAACAGGGTTGGGGCTGGGCTTAGGCTGCGGCGGGGCGGGCGGCGGCAGCTGCAGCTGCTGCGCGAGGAGCAGGAGCTCGAGGCGCGGCGGGCGCGCTGCTATCCCGTGTCTTTTGGGGCGGGGGCGCGCAGCGAGGGCGACCTCTGCGGTGGTTTCATCGCGGAGCGCGCGCCCGTGCTGGCGTACGAGGCCCTGCCGTCTTGCTGTTTCTGCGGCGGCAGCGGAGTGCGCGCTTGTATATGCGCGGATGCTGGTGCTGCTGCTGCCACTGCTGCCGTGGGCCCCGAGGCGTCGTATAGTCATGAGCCGCTGCCGTATGGGGCGCTGGACATGCTGAAGCGGCGGCTGGGGCGGGCGTTTGGGCTGAAACGGTCGGCGGGGGCGTCGGCGCAGCAAGATGGCGAGGACGGCACTGGACGGAGGGTCCTGCGGCGCCGTCGCAGTATGTGGCACTTCTGATGTGGGCATTCTCTGCGCAGGCATTCGGAGCTGTGGCGGAAAACAACGGGCCCGTTGGCTGGTTAACGCGTCGGCCTGTGGCTTGTTTGGGCGGTTTCCTGGCGTTGGTTGTGGTGTTAGAGGCAGTTGCACATGTTTCCTTTTGGTGTAACGGCGCCGTTTGCGATTAAATGCGGGGAAATGGGTGTCTCCATCTTTCTTTGTTGACTTGTTTCTTTTAGCAAGACTTAGATTGGATAGCGGCAACGCTCACGCATGGTGCGCCCAATTCAAAGGGTCCGAGGAGTTTTCTTGCTTTTGGTAGTTAATCTGGGGCCAGGTCAAGGTGTTTAGTGCCGCGGAGGAGAGTACGAGTTAGCATAGGATAGCGTTAATCTGATGTGTCATAATCATGCCGCTTGGTTTAGCGCTCGGTGCCTTTGGTCTTGTTTCTGAAGTAACGGTAGCGGAAATACTGGTTGGACATGATCAAGGTGATTTTTGCGTTGATGTTTTATTAGGTTCACCACATTTGTATGCGGTTGCTTGTATGTATTTCTTCGTGGCCCTCAGACACATGGCTGGAAGGGCTCCTACAGTGGAACACACATTATTGAGGTCAAGCCTCAATGACAAGTGTGCGTGGGTCCCGGACCTCGACGTGGTTGCCAGGTCCCGCCGGAAGCGCCTAATCGCGGCGTACCGCTCTCTACTTTCTTGCCTATGTCTAGGCTTGGAGATCCCTCGGGATCCCGGCGCGACAGACAGAGAACGGGATGGCGCGAGCGCGTCGAGTCGGAGCATCTCATCCGTGCAGACCATCTCAATCCCAGTCGTCGTCCGAGTCTTCCTGCTGCTGTACAGGTGCGCGGCGGAGCGGGGCCGTCTCGCCCTCATTCACCTTTGCGCGGGTGAGCACACCGGAGCGGAGGAGGCGGGCCTCGAGCTCGTTGGTGCGGAAGTTGTCGGCGCTGTAGCCGATGCCCTCGAAGCCGACGATGCGGTCGGCGCTGAGGCCGTCGACCCAGGCCATGACGCACGGCAGCACCTGGACCTTGAGCTTGGTGACGAGGAAGGGGCAGTTGTCGACGTTGATGCGGAGGAAGCGCGTGTCGAAGTGCTTGGGGGCAAGCGTCTGGGGATTGATTAGCCTGTGTTGGCGCGATGCAGCCATGTTGTAGGAAGTACCTCGAGGTGCGTGTCCATGATGCGGCAGCGGTTGAAGTCGGGCTTGAAGAAGTGGACGACGACCAGCTTCGTGGAAGTGGTAATGTCCATCAAGGCCTTTTCGTCCTGGATCTCCGAGTAGGTGCCATGCTCCGAGTTGCGCATCTGCTTTGCGCGCGAGTATTCGGCGTGCAGCTGCTGCAGGCGTTGTTCGCGGAAGGCATCGAGGCTGTCGTCCTCCTCGAGCTCGGCGATCAGGGCATCCTCGTCGTCAGAGTCGGCGCGTTGCCTGTCGACAATGGCAGCGACTTTGGCGTCGAGCTGGTGCTGGTGCTGAGACATGATGTTGTCTGGGTCTGGCTAGAAAGGGCCGCGGGGAACTTTCTCCCTGGGCTGCCGCGCGGGCGCTAACTAGTAACTGATGAGGCTCAACTGCGCCACGATGCCTCCTTCTCCTGGACACGCAATCTCTCCCTGCGTTGGTGGCCGTTCGCGATAGCCAGTCTTACCCCTTACTCGCGGAGTTTCGCCGAACGTCGACCTCCCCGTCCTCGTCTTCCTCCATGGCCGACACCAAAAAGAGCGACGACTACGCTCTCGACATCGACCCCAAACAGGACCGATCGCCCTCTCCCAAAATGGCTCCCTCGACCTCGTCCACCATGTCGGGCAACCCCATCCTGCCTGTCCTGGCCTATTGCGGCAGTTCCATTCTCATGACCGTTACGAACAAGTATGTCTTGTCGGGTACTGGCTTCAACTTGAACTTCTTCCTGCTCTGCGTCCAGGTAAGCATGCCCTTTTTTCCTTTCGCACGCCAGCCAGCTAACGGCGCATGCAGTCTGTTGTTTGCATCATCGCCATCCAGAGCCTCAAAATCGCCAATGTCATCTCCTTCCGCGACTTCAAGACTGAGGAGGCCAGAAAATGTACGCCGCACCACCACACCGCTCTTCCTTCCAGTCGCCGACGTTGTTGTTAACCACGCGCAGGGCTTCCCATTACCGTCCTCCTCATTGGCATGATCTACACGAGCACCAAGGCCCTGCAATTCCTGTCCATTCCCGTCTACACCATCTTCAAGAACCTGACAATCATCCTGATCGCATACGGCGAGGTGCTGTGGTTCGGCGGCTCGGTGACGCCCATGGCGCTGCTCTCGTTCGGCCTCATGGTGCTCAGCTCGGTCATCGCGGCGTGGGCCGACATCCAGCACGCGCTGGTCAACTACGGCGGCAGCGCCAGCACCGAGGCCTCGGACAAGATCTCGACGCTGAACGCCGGCTACATGTGGATGCTGTTCAACTGCTTCTGCAGCGCGACGTACGTGCTGGGCATGCGCAAGCGCATCAAGCTCACCAACTTCAAGGACTTTGACAGTAAGTTGCCCTCGCTGGCGCAAAAAGCTGCCACTCGGAGAACGCACGCTGACCACGCTACCAGCCATGTACTACAACAACCTGCTCTCGATCCCCATCCTCCTGGTCGCCTCCCTCTTCGCCGAAGACTGGTCCTCCGCAAACATCGAGCGTAACTTCCCCGCCGCGAGCCGCAACCCCATCATCCTCAGCATGGTCTTCTCAGGCCTGTCGACCATTTTCATCTCGTACACGTCGGCATGGTGCGTGCGCGTGACGTCGTCGACGACGTACTCGATGGTGGGCGCGCTGAACAAGCTGCCCATTGCCATCTCGGGGCTGGTCTTCTTCGACGCGCCGGTAACATTCGGCTCCGTGAGCGCCATCTTCGTCGGCTTCGTGTCGGGCATCGTGTACGCGGTCGCAAAGGTCCGCCAGGGCTCGCAGAAGAAGGACACGCTGCCGACGACGAACGTGCCCATGAGCGCGAGCAGCCAGAGCGTGCGCGACGGCTTGAAGGCGTAAGGTTTGGGCGTGTATCTGGTTTCAGTTTTCTACTGCCCCCGGGCTTGTATGCTACTTTTTTCTCTCTCCCGCGGCGGCTGCCTGCTTGCCTGCCTGGCTGGCTGTTCAAACCACAGATGATGGATGCATTTTTCCTAGAATTTTTTTTTTTTTTTTTTTTTTTTTTTTTTTGTTTTGGCCGGGACTTACTTATCCTATGTATCCCCTGACTGGCTGACTGGTGTCCCTCTACGTACCTATGTTTCCGATGTGATCCGCCGCGGTTTCTAGATTCTTTGTTGGCGCGCGAATGGTTATGTGTAGGAGTAGCACGGCGGCAAATGACGCGGCGGCGGCGCTCTACTATAGAAAAAGGGAGGGAGGGAGGGAGTGTGGGGCGGAGCCGCCTCGTAGAAAGGCTCCGCTTGCCGTCTGCTGTCTGCGGACTTTGATGGTGCTGTATTTGGGCGCTTGTGGTGATGAGTGCCGGTGTGTGGATTGCATTGCTTGCTACGTACCGTGCCTACTACTATTGAGATACCTACTCCCTATGGGACTGAAGTATACATGTTTTATCTTATCATATGGTTGTGGTTATGGTTGTTTGGGGTTGCTGACTACACGTGTGGTGGAGTGTAGGTTTGTGTGTGTTGGGTAGAGGAAGAGGAAGAGGAAGAGCGTGGGGCGATGAGTGCGTGCGTGGGATTGGAGGGAAAGACGGGAATCGATGGCGTGGGACTTGTGTGGGTACTTGTTTGAGATGACTTTGTTTTTCGGTCTCATGATCGATCTCTCTCTCACTCTCTCTCTCTCTCTCTCTCTCTGCTTCTTCAGTGATGTCCTCCTTCCCTCCCAACACGTCCTTCCTCACGCAAATCCTCTTTCCTTTTTTGTCTAGAGTAATCTTCACGCGCCCACACGCCCACATCCTCCTCTGCCACACACGCCCAAAACCTCACTCTGCGTCGGGTCCGCCATGCCGCATAGGCAAGCGCCTCTGTCTGCTTATATCCTATGTACGGCTGCGTGTATGTATGTATGTATGGACACGCCGCTGCTCGGCTGTGAGGACGGGACTGGGACGGGTCTTGGACGGAATGGGATGTGTGTGGGTGGGTGTGGGCGTGCTTACGGCTTCTGACACGGCGCCCTGCTGCCTTGTTATTGCTTGCTTGCTTTGTAAAAGAGTCAGCCAGCCCCGCGTCCCCGCTTCGGCGGGTGAGTCCGTGAAAGGTCAATTATCAGTGCAGGGTATACGCCGTAGGTACGTTCGGGGGGTAGAGCCTTCGGGTATAGCTGCAGCTACAGCTGCAGCGCAGCGGAAACAGAGCAAGAGCAAGAGCTAGCTGGTGGCGCTGCATGACCGCGCTACCTGTCTACCTAGGTACATAAGGTACCCTGTAGGCTGGAGCTAGCTACGGAGCTCAAGGCAGAAAACGGATTGCCTGGCGCCGTACGTGGCGCCTCGTATTGCCGCCACCAATTGAGCTGGGCCTCGGGCTGAGGTGTAGGCAACGCGTAGGCAACGCGTAGGCAACTGCTAGGCGAATGCGTCGGAAAAGAAAACGCGTAGGTTCATAGGTAGGGAGATGGGCTGGTGGTGGTGGAGGAGCTGTAAAGCAAGCAAGCAAGCATCATACGCTCTGGTCATGCGCCAGACACAGGTAAGCCAGACCAGACTAGGCAGGCAGCACAAGCGTGAAGAACATTTGTTTTTTCTTCCGCGGTAAAGAAGAAGAAGAAGATGATGATGATGAAGATAGAAAGCAATTATTGGATATCCGACTCGTTGCTGTGCTGTGCTGTGTCCTGTTCTGTCCTGTACTACCCATTCCTGTGCCATCATATCCTGTTTCGTGCCGTGCCGTGCCGTTCCTTCGCTATAACGCTTTACACTGAATTACATACTTGTGGAAAGAGAGGGGTTGAGAATGGGAGAGAGATTGTTAGGGTGGGAGAGAGTAGAGTGAGAGAGTGTGTGTGCACTCACTTTCCACTCACTCATACGCTGGCGGGGGGATCTTCTTCCCCGGGCTCTCATGCACCAGCCCTTCCCTCCCCTGCACACCCACGCTCTCTTCCACCTTCCCATCCCCCGCCTCCAGCCTCCCCGCCTCCCCATCCAGCTCAAACAACGGACTCTCCAACTCATGCGCGCCATCATGGACGCCGCCCTCCAGCTCCGCTGCCCCATCCCTCCCAGCATCCTTCTCCGCAATCGCCCTCCCCGTCCCATCCACCTCCGCCACGGCGCCATCCGTGCTCTTCTCCAAAATCGCTGCGTCCACGCCGTCAGCCTCGGGCGGGAGCGTCCGTTCCCCAGCCGCAGTTTCCGCAGCAGCAGCGCGCTTAATGCGGCGACGGCGGCGCGCGAGGAGCAGGAGCAGGAGGCCTAGGATGAGCGCAGCGCCTGCGAGGGCGCCGATGACGATGCCGGCGATTGCGCCGCCGGAGAGGGAGGAGTCCTGGTGCGCGCTAGTTAGCTAACTGATATTGAACTTCTACGTGCCAAGCCAGCCAGCCAGCCAGCCAGCCAGGCATGCAGCCAGTGAACCGGACAGAGCCGACGAAGCAGAAGCAGAAGCAGAGAAGCACGTACGTCGCTTGAGGAGACGGCCTTGACGCCTATGCCGTCGAGGACGTGCCCGTACGCTTGGTCCAAGGTGCTGGTCGCGTACCACTGCGCCGTGGCGGTCAGGCTTGCGCTGTCGTAGACGGTCACGTTGACCGTCTTGCCCACCGTGAATTGGCTGTAGCAGGTCCCACCGTAGGCGGGGCGGCGCGTGTCGACGGTGCTGGAGGGGTAGGCGAGCAGGTAGCCGCTGTGGAATGAGGTGTTAGTTTGTGTGTGCGTTTAAGGTGGTGGGGGGAGAGAATAGGATTTGGTGAGAGTGAGAGGAGGTGTGGTATTGGTCAGGGAGGGTGCTGCGCGCACTGTGATGCTCAGCTGCTCAGATGCCGGAGACACCACGTCCTCAAATAACCACGAAGAGAAGCAAAGAAATCGAAGAGCGAAAAAAGGACAGCAAAAAGAAACAGTCCCGCCTACCTCTCACAACAAGCGACATAGCCGCCCTCCCAAGTCCCCGCCGTATGCCAGCCCAGCGGACACACGAGCGGGCTCAAAAACGGCGCGACAGACGAACTAGCCGTCGAGGTGTAGCCGCGCAGGAATTCGCTTGGGAAGCACTCGCTAAAGGTGCTGTTGGGCACGGGCACGGGCTCGACGCCCCAGATGCGGTATTCCTGCGCGGCCAGCTGCGTCAGGAAGCCGCTGCTGCAGTTGGCGGCGGGCGTGAAGGTGGTGGTGAGGGCGCGCGTGGGGATTGCTGAGGTTGGGGCGGCGCTGGTCGTGGCCCGGTCTGAGGTCGATGCTGCTGCTGTTGCTGCTGCTGTTGCTGCTGCTGACGCTGATGCTGATGCTGATGCTGAGGGTGAGGGAGACGATGACCCTGTGTCTGCTGCCGCCGCCGTGGTCGTGAGAGAAGACGCCATATCCTCAATTCTTCATGGACCTCAAATAAGTAAATCAACAAGAAGCAGCCGGCAATTGAAGCAGCAACCCAAAAACACTAGCGGTAGTCAATAAGGTATAGGTAGGTAAAGACGACTCGGAGCGCAGTCACCGTCGCAGTAGTCAGTAGTCGCAGCGCGCGAGCAACAGCAGCCCACACGCCCAATATACCCACTCTCACGCACGCAGCCAGCCAGCAATTAGCTAGCATCCCGTCCCACGCACGCACGGCGATCTGCCTCGCTTCCCCCTCCCACCCAGCCGGCCGGGGGGTGGTGCAGGCCAGGCCAGGCCAGAACAGGAGAGGACAGGAGAGGACAGGGCAAGGCCAGGGCCAGGGCAAGCGGCCAGCCAGCCGGCCACAGCAGCAGCGGGAACAAGGAAGAGCGAGCGAGCGAACGCAGGCAAAAAGGCAGCGCGGGCGTGCATCCTGGCATGCCCAGTGCCCACCCTTGCAGACCCTTGGCCCATGGCCCGTCCGCCTTCCGCCCCCAAAGCGCTAAGCCCCGCGTAGACGAGCGTCCGGTCCGCTCACTCATGCTTTTTTTCCTCTCTCTCTCTCTCCTATCAAATAATCCGTACAGTACCCTTGCCCAGCCTTGTCCTGCCTTAACCTGACCTGACCCGACCCGACCCGACCTGGCCTGGCCTGCGTGGCTACCTACCTACAATGCAGCAGCAGCAGCAAGTAACTAATCGGCACGCCCAGGCCTTCAGCTGAGCTCCCGCGTGCGGCGTGCATGCATGGTGCAGGAAATGAGGGCGGGGAACCGGTCGATGTGACAGTGACAGAACACCCCCCCCAGCAGGCATGGCGCTGCGCTCGTGTTCGTTCAGCCACCGGGGGCACGCTATGTCATGCCGTGCCGGGAGTAGCAGTGGGCAGAGGGCAGTGAGAGGGCAGGCGGGAAGAAGCCGGCCGGCGGCTGCGCCCTGAGGGGTGATGCCGATGGACGGACGGACGGGCACGGGCTGGGCTTTCTGTAACGGTTTTTATGCTCCACGACTCGCCAGGGCTGGGTTTATCGTGCCTACTGTACTGCACCTAGCCCTGATCTGGGTCCTGCAGGTCGGGTGTGCGAGATGGGACTGCATGTGCATGCGATCACGCCTGCTGCTGCTGCTTTTTTTTTTTTTACTCGGCGCGAGCACATGGCTGACTACGATTCTTTATCAGATGCCCGGGTCAAGGATCTTGCATTGAGATTGTTCGAGAACGTCGTCGTTCCATCGTTACGTTAGTTTTTATTTCCAGCAAACCTAGCCCGTGGCGTGTCGTGTCCAGTCCAGGGTGGGTGCCAGGGTCGCTTCGCAACCGCAACCGCAACCGCAACCGCACCCGCGCCGGCAGGCCCCGAGCAGGCTGCAAACAAGCCAAACAGCCCCCACCCACCACCACCTCCCATCATCATCACCAACAACCATCACTCTCCCTCGCTCTCGCCATCATCACTCTCCCCGCCCTTCCTAATCATGAACACCATGCCCTCGGCACCGCCCTCTCCAATCCCAAGCACGCTCCACGCCTCGTCCAGCGCGCCCAGCGCGCCCACAACGTCGTCCCGTCCAGCCGCAACGGCCCAGATGACGCCTCTCGGGCCCGCGGACATGCGCTCCAGCGCTCCGGCTGCCAGCGCCACCTCCACCAACGCCCAGCGCGCGCCCTCTTCGAAACGGGTCAGCGCCGCGCGGCCGCGTGCCGCTATGGCTGCGGCGGCTGCGGTGTCGTGAGTGAGTAGGCGTACGAGGTAGCGTGGGCCTTGCTCGTCATTGATAGTGACGGGGCCGTCGACCGGCTGACCGGGAAGCGGGAAGCGGAAGTCTTCTTCGTCTTGCTCATTGCGAGGGTTGTTGTTGTTGTTGCGAGCGTTGTTGGTGATAGTGTGGTTGCCGTTTCCATTGCCATCGTTGTTCTCATTGCCAATTCCGAGACCGTCGTTCTCATTGCCGTTGCCGTTGTCGCCGCGTCCGAATGCGCCCTCGAACCTCCTTCCACCAGCAAGAATGTCCTCCAAGTTCGCAATCTCAGCCTGAAGTTCTGGCTGCGCATCCCCAAACGGGGCCAACTGTCTCAGAAGCTCGTGCTGCGCGCGCAGCTCAGCTCCCAGTCTAACGCGCGTCGCCGGACTAATCTGGCGAAGGCCTTGAGCGCCCTGGCCATGAAGCTGGAGTAACTGGCGCTGCCTGCGACGACGAGGCGTGCCCGGCCTGCTGCGTCGAGCATGGTCACGAGGGGACTGCGAACGTTCGGACGACGACAGAGACGGGTCGCGTGACGGGAGCGGTGAAGGCGGGACCATCCACCACGGCGGAGGCGGATGGTTGAGCCCGGCACCAACAGCACCAGCACGTGGGGGTGGCGGGTGGACGCCGGGTCCACGTCCACGTGGGAGTGGCTGCGGGGGAGGGGGTATCATCCCACGTGGCCTGGGCCTCCTCGGTACCCCACCACCACCTCCTCCACCTCCTCCTCCCTCCCAAGGCATTCTGCCCGCCACACGCTGGAAGCGCAGCGCGTCGTGTTCGCGCAGCAGTGTGAACAGCGCCACTTGCTGTCTGCGCAACTCACGCTGGAGAGCCAGAATTCCGGCCGCGGACGGCAGCGGCTGCCTCTGCAGCCGGGCGCGCAGGTCGTGAATCTCGCCACGGATATCTATCATTTCGGCCCTGAGAGCGTCGATGTGCGCGCGGTGAGGTAGGTGAAGCGGCGGCATTAACTGAGCTGGTTCGGCATCAGGTCTACCGGGGCGAGGCGGAGCAGGTGGTGGGCCCTCCTGCGGAAGACCGTCTTCTTCTTCTTCTTCTTCTTCTTCGTCATTATCATCGGCGTCGACGACGTGCTGAAAGACTGGATAGCGGGGGTCAGGGTGAAGGCCGATGTCCTCTTGGTTATCGTGGTCATGTTGCTCATCGATAAGACCACGCTCCTCGACCGGAGGCGGCGAAGGAGCAGCTCCGTGTCGGTTCGCCTCGGCATCAGGTGCGAACGGCGGCGGCAGTAGCATGTCTGGCGCAATTGCAGCAGCGGTAGCGGCGCGGTGGTTCAGCTGCTGAGCACGCCTAGCAGCAGCATCGGCGCCCTCTTCGTCGAACGCAAGGTCAAAGTCCATGACGAAATCACCCTCTCCTTCCCCGTCAGCATTGTTATTGCCATTGTTATTACCATTGTTGTTGACGTTGTTGACGTTGTTGTTAGCTGGGCCCCGTTGTTGGGGTACGAGAAGCGCACCCCAGTTTGCGTAGTTGTTCATGGCGACGGCGGCGACATGAAGTCTAAGGAACAGCAATAATGGCGCGACGGCGATGTTTAATATAGCCCAGAAGAAGGAGGGCCAAGACAACAGTTTTGGTGGTGGTTGACGTCGTGGGCGCGGTCGAAAGGCTCCGGAGCGCGCGTGGTGGCGTGCCGTTGTTGCATGCAGCTGCGTTGTCAAGCCGCCCGCCGCGTGGAAGCTTTGAGCAAGTTTGAGCGAGAACAAGAAAACGAGAAGCAGGGCAGGTTGGGAAGAAGCTTTTGGCTAGCGCACCGGGCCGGCGCCTGCGATATCCGATCGGAGCGTGGTGGTGCTATACCTTATTTACACGCGAGCTTCTCCCCTCCTGCCTTGGGGAGTTGGCGGCGGAGATGGTGGTGCGGGTGGTAGGTGGGTTATCACCAATGGCAGGCGGCCCGACAATAATATCAAGCGTGTCTAGTGCCTAGCTGGTCGGCCACCGGGCAAAGTAACCCGTTCGCCGATCCGTGCAATGGAACCGGCCTGCCTTCAACAGTTTGTCCGGCTCCAATCACGAAGCTGAAGGTGGCAAGCCAACCGGAGTTGATGGGCAAAGGGCTTGCCTGAAAGAGAAATAAGCTTGCTCACAATTGCGGAAATCTATGGACAAAACAAAACAAACGCTACACCGATACATCCACCCACTTGAAACAACTCCATGTATATGCAGAGATGATGGCCTTGGAAACTCCATCCGTTTCCACCTTCATTCATCGTGTTGTTGCATATGCGTTGGCAAGTTCCAAGAGGCGTAGTCCAGGTGGACAAAGGCACGGTCGACAGACGGTGCACTCTCAAGGACATACTGCAGTGACTCACCGAGATCGTGAGCGTCCCTAAGGCTGATGAACTCATCCAGCACAATGTCAACCTCCACGTTAAGCTTGTCGCCCGAGTGGTAGGCCTGCAGGCCTTGGATGTGCTTGATCGTCTTCGCAAATCTCATCGTCAGGTAGAGCAGGATGTTGCGCTCGTCAGCCGACGCCGCGGCGCCAGTCAGGTTGCGGATATGCGTGGCTGATGTGTGCGACCAGTTGATGATGACGTAGAGTGACAGCAGGATGCCACCGAGGGGGTCGAGCCACCATACTTTGGCGAAATATCCGACTGTGTTCATTAGCTTCAAACCCACAACATGACAGGATTAATTGCGGTCACAGGGCGGCGAGAAACCGCCTTGGTCACCAGCAGACACAAATGGATACTCACTTAATGGGAAGATGATACTGAAGGTGTTGAACACAACATCCGTCATTGCGTCCTGTGCCAACGCCTGCACACTTGAATTTTTGATCAACCGACACCAGAGCCAGCAAGCAAACTTGATACCAACCGTTGCTGCCATGATGCTAACAGCAGGGATGGTGAGCTGTACGATGGTGCGATCGGTGCCAGTAAACCTTTGGAGACCCTCGAGCATAACCTGGAAGAATGAGGTAACCATAATGACCGAGAAGACAAGCACTCCGATGGGCTCCAACTTCCTTCTTCCGATAGGGTAAGAGTAGCGATCCTGGCGAGAGATGAGGTACGTGGTGACCCATACAATCGCTGTACTGAGGAAGTCCAAAGCTGCATCGACCAAACTTGCGATGACAGAGAGTGAGGATGTCATGACGGTAACGATGATCTTTAGGGCTAACAAGGCCGTGTTCGCGATGAGATTGACATAGATTGCGATCTTGACAATCTTATGCTGGCTGCCTGTTTCTTCCTCGGGTTCATAAGGCGGCATGATGGCCGAGCCCAACTCCTCGTCATGACCGTTTGCCGCCAGCAAAGGTGTCTCTTCGTCCGGTACTTTATATAGGTTTTTCGGGGTCCGCTTGACCCTTGGCTTGTCATACTCTGATTGCTGGCCATTCATGTATGGTGAAACAGGCGCAGTGCGTGGTTCCTCTGTGATCGTGTCCAAAGGTTGGTTGTACTCTTGGATGAGGTTGTGCGGAAGTGAAGAGTCGAGTAGTCGGTCGATATATGCATATTGCTGGATTAGGTAGTTGTTCCGTTCGTAGTACTGGCGTCTGCGGAAAGGTTAATGACCGCGTTGGGCAGTTCCAGGGTCTCAACTCACATCGGCTTTTTATACTTTTGCAGTTCCTCTTCAGACTTCCAGTACTGCTCCCTAAATCTAGTTAGCTTCTATCTCTATAGCTTTCTTGGGCCACACCAACCATTTGTATCTCGGATTGCTATTCCCAATCAACCTCTGACTTCGCATTTGGGGCGTCATCAACACGCTCGCGCCCCCCAAACTTGTACGTCGAGAGCCAGCACTAAGCTGGTCATGGTCGGGGGTCTCTCGGCCTGGGATTCTCATGTCTCCGTCGGGCCCAAATTCGTTGCTGCCTCTTCGCCCAGACTGAACACTCGGAGGCCTTCCCCCAGCAGGGCGACCGCCGAATGACTGCTGTAGTAAACCGGGCAAATTCTGACCACGCGTCGAAAGGACTGCCTCCTCCGAAAGCGGAAGGAAGGACTTCAAGCTAGGAATGCGGCCATAGCTGCGCGGAGGGGACGAGCTGGAAGGGTCGGATGCCATTGTTAGGAATGGCTGGCGGGAAGAGAAGTGTGCTACGAGACGACGGAAGGCAGGGCAATCGCGGTTCTTGTAAGTGCAATGTTACAAGGGAACCCATCGGAACGCGCACGGACTTCACCGTGGATCGCTAAAAGCTCAAACCGCGGAGAAATAGCGTCATACTGCATCTGTCTCATCGACCAACAGTCGCAGCTTCAAGGAGCCCTTCACAGCCTCATATCCAGACCATCATAATCAACACCGCTCATTGCTCGGCCAGAGCGCAATTGCAGACAGTCATCGTAATTCGCATTTACAACTCGACTCCAATACTATGCTTCAAGCACAATTACCAGAGAACATTTTTACATCCACCGCTCTGCTAAAGCTCCTCGATCATCCCCAAAACTCGCATTTAATCATTTTGAAATAAAGTACAGCAACAAGCGTGCAACGCTTGTCCTACATGAAGAATCCTCCCCATCCGAGACACCTCCCGGAGACGATGCAAAGTGCTTAACCGAGCATCATGCCCTTCAAGCCAGCAGTGTCGCCCTCCTTGGCGGCAATCTCGAAGTAGCTGTAGATGATACTGGGCGGGCGTTAGCGAATGACACTCTACCGCTGATCCCAGGGAAACTTACGTGACAGCGAGCAAAATACCGGTGCCGGAACCGAGAGCGCCGAGCAGGTCAGAGGCAACCGAGAGCGCGCCAATGCAGGCACCACCGAAAGCGGCAGCAGTAGGAATGACGCGCTTGAGCTCCTTGTACATAGACTGCTCACGGTGACCAGCCATGACGAGACCCTGCTCCTTAAGCTGCTTGGCAACGTCACGAGGAGACGAGCCGGAGACTTCAATCCACGTCTTGGAGAAGACGGCGCAGGCAATGAGCATGTAGCTGATGTAGACGACCGTGTGGATGGGGTCAAGGAGAGCCTCGGCGAAGTTGAGGGGAGGGGACATGTAGTAGGCAATGCCGGAGGCGGCGTAGAGCTGGGCAGAGCCCTCGCGGGGCTCCCAGACACCGAGAAGACGGACGAGGAGGTTGTCGCTGAAACGGGAGTAGAGCATCTGGGAGATGAGGAAAATGTTGGAGCTCAGAGCGGACTGGAGCATAATGGGCTGAATCATGAGGTTAGCAACTGTAGACAGTACCCAGATTGCGATCGCAAATTACCATGTTGGAAGTGTAGAAAAGGCGGACGGGGTAAGAGCCGCGCATGCCCCTCTGGCGAGAAGACTTGACGGGAATCTCAACACGGAAGCCCTGGAGGTAGATGACCGCAGCGAAAACGAGGACGGTGGCCATGAGGTTCATGACGTTGGGAAGGTTCTGGCGGTAGAAAGCCTCGCGGAGAGCCAGCTGCTTGTTGGGCCAAGTAATGAGAAGGTGGAAGAGCGCGATGACAGCACCCTCGAACTCCGGGCCACGACCAGTGTTGATGGTGGTGGGGGAGAAAGCCTTCCAGATGATGGACTCGCAGATGTTGGTCGCAATGAACAGCGAAATACCGGAGCCCAGACCATAGCCCTTCTGGAGCAGCTCATCGAGCAGAATGACGATGAGACCAGCGACAACAAGCTGAACAACGAGAAGCACGCAGACACCAGCGCCGAGGTCGGAGGGCTGGCCGTAGAGACCAGTCAGGACGTAAACGCAGGCCTGGCCGAAGGAGAGGACGATGGCCAAAAGCTTCTGAGCGGTCTGGTAAAGCTCGCGATCGGTCTTCAGGTCAAGGTTGACGTCAATCAGGTGGGTACCAGCGAGAAGCTGGAAGACCATGCCGGACGAAATGATGGGCGTAATACCCAATTCCATGAGGGTTCCGCGATTGGAGGCCAACATCATACGGAGCCAATAGAGCGGATCCGAGGTGTCGGACGACACAATGCCGTACAAAGGCATCTGCGACATGACCAAGAAGATCAGGAGAGTGACGCCAGTCCACATCAACCGCTGGTTGAAGGGAGTTTTGGACGTCTCAGGCGCCGCGACCCTGCGATGTTGTCAGTCTTTGAAGATTCCCCTAGTCGCGTTGTTTCGGAGTACGTACTCTGGGAGCAGAGGCACGAATGGCTTGATAAGGTCGAGGAACCGCACTGCGAGTAGAGAGGGCTGGTTAGCTCGTGCGCAACTCTTTCAATGGCAGGCAGGCTCGCGGAAAGCGCGAAATGGAGGCACTTACAGCCGCTCATCTTGCCGGTTCTTCGCGAGGATAAGAAACAGGGAAAAGGGCAAAAGAGCGAACAAAGCGGATTGAAGCAGGCGGTCGGGGTCTACGACTACCGCAGATGGAATGGGGAGGGAGGTTGGTGATGGGGAAGCTCGACTCGCGGACGTTTTGTGCGCAACTGAGGCCAGGTGGAAGTTGAATGGGGAGCGCGCGGGTCATGAGCTGCCGATCTTCAGCCGACTGTCCGACCACATCTTAAAGGGGAGCTCGGGCCAGCTGCGTGTACCAGTGCTCCCGCGCCCATGTCCGCCTGAGGTGTCAAAGCGACAAAGGCGCAGCATGACCTGTCCTTGTCCCTCTCTCCCGCGACCCCTCGACGACGACGACCGCTGAGCCCACCATGTCCCGCCTACCGCCCTCTGCGCGCTCCGGCGCCAACGGATATGCCAACGGCTACGGGGGCTACGGAGGCCTAGGCCAGCCCGACCAAGACGACCGACGGGGATACGGCGCAGATGGCGCCAGCCGTGATGGCCGTTCCGGAGGCTACGGCGGCTTCTCCTCGTCTCCGCAGCGCGGCTTTTCCCCCAGCGCCCACGTCGAGCGCCCCACAAGTTTGGAGCGGAGCAGGGCAAACAGGAGAAGCGGGGGGAATTGGAATGCGGGGAGGAGTCGGAGCAGACCAGCAGGAGGTGATGCCAGCCGACAGATCGAAGGTCAGTGGCCGCCAAAGACTAGCTTCCAGCGTCCCATATCACGCCGAAAGAGAGGCGGCATAGGAGGCTCGCATTTTATAGTCTCAGACGGCGCTGACTGTCTGCCCGATAGAGTCCCTGGAATACATACAACAAGAATGGAGTTTCATGACCGACGAGAATTGTACGCCCGTTCAAGTGGCCCTTAAGTTGCTCGACACCAGCTCGTTAGGCCTGGCCAACCGCCACGGCGAATTTATGAGCACCCATGCACAGCTGCAGACGGCGCTGAGAGCAATTGTCAACGAGCACCACCAAGGTTTCAACAGTTCCATCGGTACATTCCACAAAATCCAGAGCAGTCTCCAGTCTTCGCAGGCGCGCGTCAGAACGCTGAAGGAGTCATTGGTGTCTGCTAAATCTAACCTGGCGACGACGAAACCGGAACTGCGAGGCTTTGCTACGGCGTCACAGAATTATGATGAGATGCTTTCGATTCTGGGTTCCATCGAGCAGCTTCGCAATGTACCGGAGCGTCTCGAGGTACGGATATCCGAAAAGAGATTCTTGCCGGCTGTCGACACGCTCCAGGACGCACTGAGGTTGATACGGAAGTCCGAGATGGAAAATATCGGCGCCCTTAGTGATCTGCGGGTTTATCTCAGCAACCAAGAGTATTCTCTAACGGATATTCTCATAGAGGAGCTTCACAGTCACTTGTACCTCAAATCCCCGTACTGCGAGGATCGCTGGAAGGCATATGCTCATAACCAAGTGAAGCCCGCAGCCGACGGCTCCGTAGCGCAGATTGACGTACACAGTCGCGCGCTTTATCAGTTTCTGGATAGCCTAGACACATCGCAGCCTTTCACGGACGACGCATCGCGGAATCCCGAGGCCGATACGTTTCACTACATCCAAGTTATACTCGAAGCATTGAACAAAATGGGACGTCTCGACACCGCGATCGACAACATAGAGCAGCGTCTCCCTGTTGAGCTTTTTAGAGTTGTGGAGAAGTCCAACACAGAGGTTGCCCAACGGTACCCTAGTCTCGTCCGTAACTACCAGAATAAGCCTGGTGGAAAGGGAGGAAAGGCTTACGGGACCGATGAATCCAAGACAACTCTCCTCAACGATCTGTTATGGACTCTTTACGCTAGGTTCGAAGCAATCGCTGAGAGTCATCGGGTTGTCTACGAAGTTGTGTCAGGGATCGCAAAGCGTGACGGTCTGCGGGATACGGCTACCTTGACCGGCAGTTTCAAAGAATTATGGAGCCTCTACCAGAGTGAAATGCGTTCTTTACTGCATGATTACCTCTCCACTGATGGCGAGCTTGCGTACCGGTCAGGTTCAGGGCGCAACAACGAGGAAAGTGTTTTCCAAAGGACACAGCGTGACAGAAACAAGAAAATGTTCAAACTATCGGATATGGACGTAACCGCAACGGATTTTGCCTCTGAGCGCGACGACCTGGAAGTCATCCTCAAGTCTTCAGTTCCTGGGCTAGTATCGGACTCGAAACGTCTTAGTGGTCTCCAGACGAGCAATAGTTCTGACAGACATGACGGGAGCGCTACGGGCCATAAGCTGCTTGTGGAACCCAGTGTATTCAACATGGGTATTCTACTGCCGCCATCTCTGGCATTCCTGAACCGACTCAAGGAAGTGGTTCCTCCTACCTCCGACATAGTCACGAGCACGCTTACCTCCTTCCTCGACGACTTCCTTGTCAATGTTTTCCATCCTCAGCTCGATGAGACTCTTGTAGACCTCTGCGCTCAGACGTTCATGGAGGCAGACACCTTCCATGAGGACGCACAGTGGCAGATCCATTCGAAGAAACCCGTCTTCAAGGTAAAGGCGTATCTTTTCACTGGCCATGCTTGAAAGCTAATTTTTGTAGGGCACTACCAAATTTTTCTCCCTTATCACCGCCTTTTGCAAGATGTTGGATAACCTTCCACATGACCAGGCTTTCAGTCAGCTCATCATCACTCAAATGGTGACTTACTATGATAAATGCTATGGCTGGTATAGAAGTATGTACATTTGAGCATAATCGCATGCCTTAGCTGACTCTTGTAGTCCTTGTGACTCGCACCCAAGGGAAAGAGAACCATCTCAAAGCCTCCGCAGCCCTGGCTCAGAATCATGAGGTTTCTAAAGTTCTTCTCGCTCTCATGCATGCGCATGATGAAAATCGTGAAGAGCGTTTGGAAAAGGTAAGAACCTCATGTAATCCTATCGTCATCACCGCTAATACTTTACTCAGGCAACAACGCTATTCATGGAGCATTGTCAAGATGTCACACATCCTGATTTGATTACTGACCGCAAGAACATAGCAGCGTTATGCTTGTTGTTTACAAGCATGGTGAGTGGGGATATTTCCGAAAAGCTGTCGGACATCTTACTGATCAATTGTGCAGAAATGGCTTGCGAGTAAGGTCCATGGGCTCCGCCATATTAGCGACCGTGCCACCAATTCTTCTCGGCCAAGTAGCGCTCGGGGAGGACACAGGCGACGCTGGACAAACGTCGGCTCCGCAGAACCTCGCGGTGACGGAAATCCCGTCTTCTTGCCACTGAACCAAGAGACGGCCATGTAAGAAACGACCTATAAAAATACCCCTTTTCAAACGCTGACGTATACAGTGCTTTCGACGGAGTGGTGAACTCTTACCACGAACTTGCAGGCGCCATACTTCAGACATTGCATCTGGAAGTCAGATACCACGTTTTGTATCACGTCAACCAATGTTTCAAGGGTACTTATCGGTTAGACCAAATTTTTGGCGAACCTGATCCAGAAGTGCTTCAGCTCAACTCAGAGCTGAGCGAAATTGACGAAGAAGTCCTGGGACAGCTTCAAAAGCAGCAGCACCGGTATGGTTTCTTCTTTCTTGAGTTTGTGAACAAGAAGACTAACTTGCCGCAGATTCATTACTCAAGGTCTTGGCCACCTTACCGACCAACTCCTTGTCAAGAACAGCCAGAAGATCCCTCGCATGAATGAAAACGGATGCGCCGTAATGCAGCTCAACGTCTTGGTTCTGCAACAAAACCTTAAGAACATCGAAGCCGACGCTGTCCTCTCCAAAGCTACTCAATACTACAACTTCTTCACAATAGGGGCGGAAGCCATCATCGCCGCTGCCAAGGAGAGCAAAGAAAACAACGGACCGTTTGCGTACGAGGAACTGAAGAAGATGCTGGAGCTTTACTTCTCCGAGAACATGGATAATGAGAGGAGAGAGCTGGCCATAAAGGCTCAGACGGGACTGAGCGACAGTCTGGCGCAGTTGAACGAGCATATGTCGCAGTCATAAACGGGGAGCAGCGCCGGATGTTTTTGGGATTAGGGATTAGATGTGCGCAACCTAAGAAGTTGTTAGATCAAAACGATGCATTTGCGAGTAATATCAAGATTCCCAAATAAAATCAACTTGGAGTCGCCATAGTTCTACACGCGTCTGCGCGCGCTTTCACGTGTCGTGGCTGATCACGAGCGTCAATGCCGAGCGTACTTCCGAGTTTCATCATCTCCATTAGACCTCTCAACTTCCCTACAACTCAAAATGCCGCCGCAGAGTAGGGGAAATGGCTATCCGAAGGGCCTCCAATCGAAGTCCACTCCTAATCTCCCAACTCTCAAGTCGCTTTCCCTCGATTCACTCCCGCCGGCGCCGACTCCTCCAAGTGCCAAAACCGAGGCTCCAAGCAGCCTGCTGTCTCCCACAACCACGTCTCCTTCTGAAGCGGCTTCTGTAGAAGACAACCTTTCGACGGAAGACTCCTTTACCCTGGACGCCTCCGGTCTAACGAGTGCATCTGAGGAGGAAGACAATGGCGACGATGGACTCGACTTCGACGGGCCAGCGCCCGCCGTGCAGGCGCCTCGCAGCACAAGCACAGGGCCAGGTACCAAACCAAAACGGCCGATATATTCGCACGGAAGCCGGTCGCATTCGCATCTACCACATGCATCGGCGGCGCTATTCCCGCCTTTCTACAACCGACCGCCCACGCCGCTGCCTCCGTCGCCCAGCCTGACAAGCCTATTGCGGCCCAGCTTCAGCACGCAGACGAGCCGGCCGACGACACCGGATAGCTCAGATGTAGAGGCAGTGCCGGGGCCGTACCGGCACGGCGGCGCAGTTAATAGTTCAAAGCGGGCGCCCAGCGCGGCATCGACCGGGACGGGTACCGGCACCGGTACACCCACAAACAACCTGGCATCATCGTTTGCGTCCGCGACGCCGATCCCCCGCGCGGCGCCTAAGGTGCCGACGTACGAGTATTATGGCTTCTTTATCTACCTAGCGTCGAGCTTCGCGTTCCTCATGTACATACTGTGGGCATATCTACCGCGTCCGTTCCTGCACCAGCTCGGCATCTACTACTATCCGAACCGGTGGTGGGCTCTGGCGGTGCCGGCGTGGCTGGTTGTCCTGATCATGTGGATCTATGTCGCGCTGGCGAGCTACAACGTCGACTACCTGACGCTGCCGATGAAGAACTGCGAAAACCTCGTTGACGACGCGGCGCAGATCGCCGTGATGGACGCGCGCGGCAAGATCGTGCGCATGGGGAAGGATGACCAGAAGGGTACCGCCAGCGCGGCGCATAGTAGACAGAGCAGCGCGATGAGCGTCGGCAAAGGGTTTGCGGTTGGGCAGGAGAAGGAGGTCGATTGGAAGAACCTGTGGAGCGAGAGTACGGATGCGGTGCTCGACGTGCCGATAGGCGGCGTCTGCGAAATATTGTATGGGGCAGGGCGCGAGAAGGACGAGGACGAGGAGGATAGCGAAGAGGACGGCGATGGGGAGAGCGAGGCTGTGAATGGATGAAGAAACGGCTTTCTCGTCTCTGGCAATGCCTCCAGACTGGAATACCAACCGCCGTACAGGTCACGACGTTTGGGCAAGTCAGAATAGTGAGTGCGCATATATCCTCGTCAAAGAGCCCGCCGCCGTCCTATACCGAGTCGCGCACTTCCTTGCGGGCGCGATTTCCCATATTGTGGTCTAGTGTCGCGTTCAAACAGCCAAAAGGCATGAAGACGTTGTTGCTCTCAAGCGCATTTCCTGTCGCTTTCGAGTGGGCAGGATTGCACGGTCCAGGACTTCTACGAATCACAAATTTGTGGCATCATATATACAAACACTCAGTATAAAATTTCAACTTCCTCCGTGGCGCAATTGGCTAGCGCGTCTGACTGTTAAGAGCATCTTTAAGATACTTGGCTATCAGGAGGTTGACAGTTCAAGCCTGTCCGGGGGAGTTTATTTTTGCACTTTTTTCCTCTGGTTGCGAGGTGATGCAGAAATGCTTCCCAAGCTCGCGTGCATCCGTCAAGCACCATCAACGTCTCCAACCATCATTTCTTTTAATTCCTTCTATTGTTATCTAGTATATTTCCTCTGACTGTTTCCGAAAAGCACCCTCTCAAGAACACCTTTCGAGGCTTCGAGACCGTGTTTCGTCATCCTCCGCAAAACCCCAGGCCGAGCAATATCATAAAGGTGTGCGATAGCCTTGCGAGATTCCCGATCCCACGATTTTTCATGCATTTGATAGCGCTTTCCACCATTTCCAAGCTCGAAGGTGATGGGCTCCTCATGATATGATGATACTTTGTGTGAGGTATTATCAAGATCCAAAGTGAGATTGTAATCGAAACCATCAAGCCGGTTGAAATAGTACTCTACGAATTCCCGGATTTTCCCTATCATAACTCTCCCAGCAACTGGATTGGGCGCAACGCGTGGTACAATGGTTCCACGATCCAAGAGAAACTTCCGGGCCAACTCCATAAAGTCGTACGTATAGTAAGTTTTCCTTATGCAGCCATCGTATTTGCAGACACCAAGATTGTATTGCGTTTTAAACAAGGCGAAATGGCGGATACGCAATACGACGGCCTCCATGGGCAGGCCAAGGGCCCGCGCAGGCGCGTGGATATGCTTCCAGAGGTACGCACCCGCGGCTGTCTTGTCGCAATTGTCGAGTCCACACCTGCGCTGGCGCATGAGAGTCTGGTCGATATACACGAAAACTTTGTTGAAGTAGTCGGTGTCCTCGGCGAATAACCAGGGTGTGGTATTGGCATCAGAATAGCCTTGGAAATCGCGCGAGTGGCGTACCCAATAGTGGCCTATACAATAATCGCGTGCCATGAGGAACCAGAGAAATCTTCGGAGGCGCTCGGTTGAGAAGGCGTCGGCGTCGTTAAAAGATGAGTCGGCGACGCTTTCCAACACCATGTTGACCAGAGCGACCATCTCATCGCACTCCCGAATCGTGGCTATGTAGCTGGGTGGCTGAATCTCCTTGGATTGGTCTTCCATTTTGGAGGTATCGTGAGGTATTTGCATTCTGGAGGACGATATCTAGAGGCGCCTGCCTTTCGATGGCTCAAAGTGGAAGTATCAAGAGCCCGGAGACTGGATTTATTTGTTTGGGAGATTTAGAGATGGAAAATATTTGTGCCCTGCATCGTCGCTCTTCAGTGTTTTAAATAAAGCCAGGACCATTGGAGTTTTGGCTGGTTGGCTTTTCGACTGCCTGTCACCAAGGTCGAGAGACGTCATTCGGCAAAGCGTACCTAGGGACTGGTGCTTCGAACCGAATCACACTTACCATCAAACTGGGGCGTTTGGAAATAAGCAGAATTACATGCAGTAATGTCGAGTTAATTGTCTTGTGACGATCAAAGGATAAAGTGTGTAATTGGTTCTTGTAGATGAAGAAACACAACGCTATCATAACTCGCATATGTACATGTAGAACACAGAACCGCACAACAATGACCACTCTGAACCTGTGACGGATGTCTGCCATGAGATCGACTGGAGGCGTCTCAAGAGTATCGGTGTCTCCGAGAGTGACCAAATGAGAGTAATCGCAGTTGCGTGAAAAAAGTGTTGGTAGAAGCCGGTATTCAGCACCATAGGTACTGGATAGTGCGCCCGAATGAGAGGAAAGTGCAAGAGAAAAAGCAAGCGAAGAGCTTTTGTGGTGCAGATATTGACGAATAGTCGCTGAGCAGCTGCTGGCGAACAACTATAGATAAGCAGTCGCTTGATGAGCAGTAGTTGCTTGATGGGCAGCAGTCTCTTGATGGGCAGCAGTCTCTTGATGGGCAGCAGTCGCTTGATGAATAGCAGTCGCTGAGCAGCCGTAGATGAGCGGTCGCTAGAAAGTAGGCTTGCACGATCTCTGGTGAAGAGCTGTTGTAATGCAATACGTATAACGCAGTTGGTGACCAGCAAGTGAGGGATAATTTCGAGCGATTAGGCGTTGATGGGTAGTCATTGAAAATCCATCGAAGTCTTCGTGGGTAGCGAAGAAGAGCCAATGAGCTCAAAGCCCTGTGAGTGAGGCCGAAACCAATGTGTCGTTGAAAGTGGTAGAGTGACAAGGAACGGCCCGCAATTGCGCGATGTCACTGAGCCATAGTAGCGCTTCGTGGCTTGTTCTTTGAGTTTAGGCGGGGACTTGGTGAAAGCTCCACGAAGCGGACTGCCTCAAAACCCCAGACAGGTGGGGATGATTGGAGTAGTGGCCTGCTTTGCCGTTGAACGTTTGAGTGAAAGATTTGTTAACCAGTGGTGAGGCTGTGATAGCTGACTTCCTCAGGTGTAAATGAGGGCTGGTCTGCGTCTCTGCTAGAAATCATTGAAGCTCATAGCCGATCAGTGAAAAGAGTCTTGGACGTTGTGCCGTCTGGTTATGCTAAGGTTGTCAGTAAGATCTTCCGGGATGAGAAAAAGCCATGGCTTACCAGTTGTCCCATCAAGAGACGAGTTGCAACTATCAGCGCCTTGCCCCTTTCAATCAATCTCGTAAATGCCCCAACACAGCCATGAATCTTCCGCAGACACCGCCACCTTTCCCATGTCTTTTTTGCTGTCCATGCTCCTTTTAACCTGCCCCATAAAACATCCCGATACAACCAAGAAACTTCCGCAATCACCGCCACCTTCCCTAGATACCCTGCGTTGTCCAAACGCCGTATGCTGCCTATGAGCTTTTCTTGTCATCTCTGAAACATCCCACGGAACCCTCGGAGTAGGAAAAGAAACAAAAACAACATTAACAAATCTCCTAACCGTGAATCTTCCAGAATAGAGAAGAAACGAGAAAAACAACGCCAACTACTTGACCAAGGATCCCCTGGAGTAGAAAGAAATGCAGGAAACAACGCCAACTACCCACTTGACCACGAATCCTCCGAAGCAGAAAGAAATGCGGGAAACAATGCCAACAAGTACTCGTCGCGAACCCTCTAGAACAAAAAGAAAACATGAAAAACAACGCCAACAAGTCTTTGGCTACGAATATTCTGAACCAGAAAAGAAACATGAAAAACAACTGCATCAAAAGCTTTGAGTAAAAGAGACAACATCGGCGGTGCAGGATCCCACCCACCATCCCCCTGCCACTGCCCTTTTTTTTTTTTTTTTTTTTTTTTTTTTTTTTTTTTTTTACCCACCTCCACAACCCCGCCCAGAGGGCACAAGAGGGACGACCGTTCGTCCCCATTCTCACCGATTGTCAGTGGAGGGAGCAATTAAGCCCCCGCGTGCTGCGGCCCCTGCTGTCCCGCAGGTTCAGGCACGCTCCGACGGTTTTTAAGCCGCCAGACCCACACTGCGACAAGGGTCAATAGAGAGCCTGTAATAAGGCCCCCCAAAGCCCCCATCATGCCGGCAAGAACGACTACCAAACGGCCGTCCCCCTGAGTAAAATTATATGACGGCATCTGTATACAATGTTAGCAATGCTCGACAGAACTCATATCCAGTTGAGGTCAATGGCAGCGGATCAATGTGATCGGAGTCATCCCCATGCGGAGCTGGATTGAGCGGCCGGTGAAAGATTGCTGGAAGCATAGGTGAATAGGTTGTGTCTGCCTTCATACGAAAAGATCCGAGACTACAGTGACAGTTAGCGTTCGACTGCACAAAAGGCACCAAATTCTCTTTGAAGTGGGAGCTCATACTGACACGAAGAAGCCATTGGCCTTATGCGAGATGATCCGTCTCAGCTACGCGGAAAGCTGTTCATGGGGTCGTGAGGTGGTCACCATTGGCTTGACTAGGTTTCGTCGGGTCGATGCGAATTGAACCTTTTCGCGGGGAATTGATCCAGCGGGTGTTCCAGCTCTGAATCGATGGGCGTGTTGATGGGGATGGGTGCAAAGGGACGGGGAGGAGTGCCTTACAATTATCTGTTTCACAGGTTAGCAAGTGTGTTTTCGAAGAAAATGGAACGTTCGGATTTGGAGAGGACAAGTCGATAACTGGGGACCTGGGGACAGCGAGGATAGGTGAAATGGTCGCAGAAGGGTGTGTGTTTGGGGTACCTACATTTGTGATAAGTATGCCGAAGAAGAAAAGAGGAGAAGGTTTGGAGGACAGGGACGAAAGATGACCTACCGCGCGCCCGCTTGCCTTGCGACTTCCTTCATGGGCAACAGGAAAGCGCAGCCACCACAACCCCAAGCAGAGAGGAGCAGAGCTCAGCGCAACACAGCCCAATGCAACGCGGGCGCATCCAGCCGAGGTCATCATTCCGCTCCTAAATGAAAATATTTCAGCGAAAGCCAGAGAGGACCTCAGTCTAAGCACCTTTCTGCCGCACACAAAGCGAAACTCATAAACTTTTGATGGCTGTCACGGAACTGGAACTGGGAGTCTGTACCTACACGACCAGAGGCTCAGCAACCGTGAGCACTCCCTGGTATGTCGACCTCATCCCGCCAGCATTTCCTTTTTCGTAGTACCATCAGCGTGAGGAATGGCGATTATCTGCGTCTTATACTAAACAAATTGTGCAGACTTCCGCCTGAATCTTTTCGCAGACCTCACCCTTCATGAACCCCTCCAGACAACAAGCGCCCACAAGTTGATATTCCCCTTCAAGCAACTGGCGAAGAACAATTGGGACGGGGCAACCACGAATTACCCAGATCATATCTCCAGTGACTGTGGGCAGAGGGGAAAGGCCAACTCGTTCACTTGTCCCATAACAGATGGACCTTCCGGCGGCATACTGCTCCAGTATCTTGCTTCTTTCCTGGGTATTATAGTCTTTGTCGGTGGTATTGATTGGTAGGCCCTCGAATTCTAGACCATTGAGAAGATGAGCCAGACGTTCTTTGGTTTCCTCATTCACGGCTGGTGCGGTAGGCACGGTCGTGTCTACGCTTGAAACCTTAGCGTCAGTACCTTGAAGCCTGTTCTCGGGTAGTCCGTGTTGAAAATGCTTGTATGGATGGGTGAAGGTAATTTTGTCAACGCAGACACCAGCAACAACTAATTTACGTGACAGTATTCTCGGTTGGACTTGATGCTCGGAGTCGCCGGAGGCCCCGAAATGATCATTGTCCCGACTTGGGCTGCATAATGGCCTGCAAGAAATTTCTCGAGACCAGTCTGGCACCCAAGAGGGCAGTGCTAACGTTGGCTCCTGGTCGTAAAACTGCTCGCATATCCCGAGAACCTTAAGGTTGCGATGTTCCTCTATGATACTCCTGGTTGTGTCCGTATAGACATCCTCGACTGACAAAGAATAGTCCGGAGTGATCAGGGCTCTGCCGTTGGGATGAAGGCCTATGAGGGAATAAATCATGTCGCGCTTGTCTGTTGCTTTCAAATATCCTCGAACACGATAGCATCTTATGTCGTCCAAGATAGCGCCAAATGTCGAGAAGTTACCTCTTTCCAAATAGTCCCAAAATGCCATCATGAAGCAAAAGGGACGCATTCCTGAGGTTTCTGCCCAGATATCCACAAACCCCAAGTCTTCTTCCAAAGAAGTGAAGAGGCTCGCGTACAAGATTCTCAGGAGATCGTTCGGAGCAATCGCCTGACTCCCAATCATCATCTTAACTTCCTTAGAGAGTAAGACTTCTTGGACGATCCAGCATCTACAGAACTATACTCTCTAGTAAGCGGTTTGTACAACTCTGGCAGACATTCTGCTTGCACTTACCCAAGGCCTGTTCATGAAAGCACAAGCAGCTCGTCTTCTATTACTCGCAGCCTGCAAAACACAGGCATGGCAGAAGTCCATATCTTGTTCTTCAGAACCAATGCTGTAAGTTTCGTCATCATCCATTTGTGGCACAGAGTGCGTAGAGCATGGGCGCACAAAGGTACTTTCAAGATAGGATACGAGTCGGGATTCGTCTTCCCAACTTTCATTGTAGGGGTCTTCGCGGAACACAAACTTGTTCTCTCGAGAGCTGATAGTGTCGAGGGTACTGATGAGTAGATTAGAAACATCGTTTGCATTCCCCAACCATACCAGCGTTTTAAGCGCTCCTTTATAAATATCCGCCATCATCCCGACTTGCTGGCTGACTTCGGAGCGGTCTTGCTGGTTGATGCAGATTTGATCAATCCAGAGATAGCCTGTAGTGGAAGCCGCCCTCAGGTGGGGAAGAAGTTGATCCAGGGTTTCCGTGATGGCCAAGGTCTTGCCTAAAGCCAAGCAAGCCGTATGTGTTTTGTTTGGATTTCCCCAGACATATGAGATTGCCTCGTAAGGGGGAGCCTGGTCGATCCTCGCATGGACAAGTTCCAATTCAGCTTTTTTCGGATTGTAGCTTCGAAGAGCTGGGGTTCCATAGCAGACCTTGAGTAGTCTGAACTTTTTAGGGTGCTTTAGCGGACTGTACTCGTAGCAAGACATAGGGGCTGTCCGCGACCAAGATAATGGGTTTTATGCTGGTTATGTAGTATTCTGAGGGCCTTTTAATGAACTGACATTGCTTGCTTTACATTTGTGAGAAAATGTCCTATCGAGACTAATGAGGTGGTGGAGAAGACATGGGATGTCGGTCTAGCTGGTGTCTCATGCTTTCAGTTGCAGAAATACCATAGACACGTGGGGATGTTGCGCGTGGTGATAACATATACGGCCAGAATCTGCGGCATTCCCGATAGATGGAGGTTGAGAGATCGTTGGTGGTTACGGTGTTAGAGATATGCAAGCCATTCACGTGACAAGTCACATGTTGTTACTAATCACTCCCCGTCTCTCCCTGCCTTCCTGGTGTTTCAACTTCGTTTCCAAACTCCGACTCAAGAGCTGACCTTTGAAGGTCCTCCTCCATTATACATTTCTACATCCTTTTTCTCAATAGCGGAAGGCGCACTCGTACGAAAGGTTGTTTGGGCTTCTTTGGTCGGTTGATGTCCGCCTTCAGCTTGGAAGCACGTCTCAGACCTATAGCAAACCTCGAGTGTCTGTTGATTGCCGAGACAGACTGATGGCTGAACTAATAGACCTCGATACCAATAAAAACGCGGATTCCAGACACTTTTGGGCTAAATGCAGTCGCAACCCGACCATGATCTAGATCAGCCGGGCCTTGTTTCGCAGCTATTTCGCATCCCATGACGCGCAGAAAGAAGCGCAGAACGGAGAACCACTAAATTGTCAACAACGATCACTCGGAGGAAGTCGCCGACCGAGACTAGAGCTTTGTCCGCCGAGATACGCTATTTCGCGACGCAACCTGATCAAGTCCACTCTTACTCTAGGCATTCTTACTCCGGTAAAGATTCCCGCAGAGGTTGTTGGCATTCCTCTGGGGTGTTCGTACTGGTACCGAAATAATCTGCGCAGCGCTGGGGATAACCACTCACTTGAAGAGAAGGTCGCTCTGCACACGCTCAGTGCGATACTCTTATATCTCAGGTTATAATCCATGCCTTTCGATATGGATGGTGCTTCTCGTGTCGCCAGTGGAGAGAGAGAGACTGGATGACGCGTCCAACATGTATGCTGGACAACAAGGTATAACATGATAGCGACGAAGAGCGGCACGCCACGGAGACCGGCCTGGCAGATGATGACATACCATAAACAATTGTTGAGCGACCTTTACTTAAGCTTTGGTTTGGAAAATGAAGCAAAGCGAGTGCGCTCACCAAAGAAATTCAGACGCAGCCTCCGAACATACCACAGAAGATTCATGAAAGCCACTCACGAGGCCGTCGATCAGCATGACCTATAATTCTACTGCCCAACACCATGATGAACAACGAGTGGACAGCGTCAATGAAAAGGAATACCACGTCAAGCTAGAAAGAAATGATACCTCGTCAACTCGCATTGATCTCCATCCGCCTCCTACTCAAGAAGAGAGCAAAAAGATGCGCAAAGTTGCTGATAGGATTCCGATGGTCTGCTGGCTACTTTGCATTGTCGAGTTTCAGAACGTGCTTCATACTATGGAGCACAAACGGTTTTTTCAAATTTCATGGAATACTCACTGCCCAAAGGGGGTGAGTCGAGTTTAAACAATGCCCACTGCTAAATAGAGATCTAATTGAGTTATTAGGAAATGGCGCTGGAGCGCCGCCGAGAGGCTCACAGGAAACTGCCGGTGCTCTCGGCAAGGGGCTCCAATTCTCAAACGCATTTGTGTTGTTGTTCTCCTTGCTTACATCATACCCATTTTTGGTGGTTGGATAGCAGACACCAAGCTGGGACGCTTCAAGACCATTTTGATTGGCGTGTTAGTATGCTTTTTTGCTCACATTATCATGATATTTGGGGCACTGCCTAGTGTGTTGCAGGCTGGCAAAGGTCTAGCACCCTTTGTTGTCAGCCTGATCGTCTTGGCTGTTGGAGCAGGTAAGCTTATCAAAGGCTTCCAGCACACAATTGCTGATACTATTGAAAGGCTTGTTTAAACCAAACGTCGCGCCTGCTATCCTTGACCAGTATACACACCAGAAACCTTATACCAAAGTTCTAAAGTCAGGAGAAAAAGTCATTGTCGATCCCGAAGCCACAGTACAACGTTTGATGCTCGTATTTTACGGTGAGAGTGCACTTATCTGGAACCATTCCTTCACTGCTGATAAAGCAAACAGCGCTGGTCAACATTGGAGCCTTTTTCGCCCTCGCAACAACCTACGCTGAGAAACGAATCGGCTACTGGCTGGCATACCTTCTACCAACCATCATTTTCATGTTCCTTCCCCTGCTGCTGCTCTACCTGTACACGCGGGTCGTCAAAGTACCACCAAGCGGACCTGAACTTACAAGGGTCGTCCGCATCTGTACACTGGCAGTAAGGGAGAACCGGGGCAAGTTTTGGAAGAGTGACTTCTGGGATTCAGTAAAACCAGCCCGGCTCAGCGAAAGAGACATAACGACATTCCGCGGCAAGCCCATCGACTGGACCGACAGGTTTGTTGACGATGTCATTCGTACGCTTGGCGCGTGCAAGATCTTCTTATACTTCCCCATCTATAATTTGAGCGACAGCGGCATTGGAAGCGTCTTAACGAACCAAGGTCAGTAAAGACTTGCTATCCCTAGACTCTGAGAAAACAAAGAAGCATCAGTCTAAGCTCACACCCTCTCACTCCAGGCTCGACGATGCTAACGAACGGCGCGCCGAATGACATTCTCATCAACTTCAACCCCCTCGCCATCGTCATCACCATCCCAATCCTGACCTACGTTATCTACCCGCTCCTGCGCAAGCGCAACATCAAATTCGGCCGCATAACGCGTATCACGCTGGGCTTCATACTCGCGAGCATCAGCAGCGCCCTCGGTGCCGTCCTGCAGTACTACGTCTACGAGACGAACCCATGCAAGTACGCAGCGACGCGGTGCGCCAACGACGGCGCGGGCGTGTCGCCCATCAGTATTTGGATGCAGGTAAGTAGCATATCCTGGACTGAGGAACAGACCCAGGCCCACGGGAAGACGAAGAGTGCTGATGGCAAGTCTGGCTGCAGATCCCGGTCGTGGTGCTCGGCGCGCTGTCAGAGTGCTTCTGCAACGTGACCGGCTACGAAATCGCGTACGCACGAAGCCCGCACAACATGAAAGCGCTGGCCGTGGCGCTGTTCCTGGCGACGCACGCGCTGTCGTCGGCGGCGGGGGAGGTGCTCTCGCCCGTCATCAAAGATGTACGTCCACCATCCACTTAAACCATCCACTAAACTGGCTCTCTCGGCGTCGTATATATCGGCCGACGCCTTTCTTGAGCATGGCAAGTACTGATATCGTGCTCGCGCTGCCAGCCCTACCTCATCTGGATCTGGGCCGGGCCATCCATCGCGCTCGCGCTGCAGACAGTCGTGTTCTGGTTCAAGTATCGGCGTATGGACAATGATGAGTTCATGACGTATAATGAATGAGAAGGAGGAGTTAGGTTTAGGTGAGGTGGGGGTTAGGGTGGTAACGCCGGGCCCACTGGCAAAAGAGGAGGTATGACTATGACTATGCGGGCGTAGGAGAGTATGATGGCTTGAGGACGAACACTTTTCCATCAGCTTGGAAGCAGCGCCAATGTCAGCAAAGTTATCCATATTATTTATTTCTTTGCTTTACATGGGTTGATTGGGAATGAATTGAGTCTGTCTTGACGAAAATAAGAAGTCTCCTGCTATCTTCCGTCCGCACGCGCATGTCCAGGCGTTTTGAGGTCAGCATACCGAGCAAAGGTCTTTCTCAAACAGCACACGACAGCGCATCAACAGTCTCAGCAGCATCTATTGCAACCACAAAGCAAACCTCAGCTTCCATACCGGTGGAAAAGCTCCATCTAAACCCCCGCCTCAACCACCCTTAGCAACAAACACATCACACCACACACTTAAGCACAACCACACAACCCGCACAAAAAGCCCAACCAAAAGCCAAAACCCCCATACAAAAATTAAGTAAGATACCTCAACCCACAGCGCATAAAGCCAAGCCAAGCCAAGCCAAGTATATAAATACTAGATAGATAGATAGATAGATAGATAGAGAAATAGAAATGCCTCCTCCCCCGTTGCGGCAAAGCGAAGTTTAAAGCGAAAAGTACGAGGGAGGGACGGAGGGGCAGGAGAAGAACAAGACAAGACAAGACAAGATAAGCCAAGACAAAAAAAGGTACCTGACAATTGAAGAGGAAGAACAAGAAATTGACGGGGCTTGATGGCCCCCCGTGCTGCAGCAAGAACCTCCCGCTCCCCGCTGGATATAGAGGTTGAGGTTGAGGTACCCTGAACTCCGCCTTTGACTCCGACTCCGTCCCAATGCAAAAATCAAAACTGCGGGCGCTGGCTGCGGTGGCAGTGGCGGAGGCGGCGACTCGTAGGGGTAAGTGTAGGTGTAGGTGTAGGAGCTCCGCGCCCCGCCCGCCGCTTCGCCTGTAGGACGCTTTCCGCCTGCTGAAAGGCGCGGCTGTATGCTGCTGCTGCTGCTGTCGTCGTTGTTTGCCGCCACCGATGCTGCTAAAGCGGCAGAGCTGTGTTGCTGAACTAGTCGTCACAACGACTTCCGCAGCAAATCGACCAGTTCCCGCCTCTTGCACACGCGCATGCATGTATGCAACCAAACAGTGCAATGCGCAGCGCTTCCCGCCCTTCCCTTCGACCATCCCCCGCCCCCCCGCGTAACCAGCAGCGCGCGCACGTCTAGAAGCGGATTTCGTAGTTGCCCGCGCGCGTCATATAGCGGACCCACTTGACGGAGCTGTAGTTACTCTTCTCAAACACCTTCAAGTAGCGCACCAGCAACCCGCTGCTCGTGAACATGAGCAAGCTGAAATTCAAGCTCAGCGGCGGCCGGCTCCACGCCTTCTGGTTCGTCATGCTCGTCAACGTCGCCTCGGCGCTGAGCACAAACTCGCTCTGCCCCGTGAAGCGCGGAATCTTCCAGACAATGTTGTTGTGCTCGGGCTCGTACTTGGCCTTGCCCTGGCTGGTGCGGCTGGAAATATTGGCCGTGTTGAGCGGCGTGGGGATGCGCACGACGACGTTGGTGGCGAAGAGCTTGGAGCCGTAGTTGGCGCGGATGGCGATGCTGTACTCGACCTTGGTCTTGCCGACCTCGTTCACGATCGCGTGCACCTTGAAGGGCAGGTTGACGTTTTCCGTCGCCCGGTACCGCATCAGCTCGAACTCGCCGTCGGGCGGCACGAAGCTGATGATGCGGTCCGTGTCGAACTTGCCCAGCTTCACGCACTGGTGGAACTGGCAGTCCTCGAGCGTCACCGAGCCCGCGGCCGCCCGCGTCGCTTTCGTGCCCGCCCGGTTCCCGGACGGCGCGTGCAGGCTGTCCTCGCCCAGCGTCAGCCGGTCGTTGAGCCCAAACTTGCATTCCGGCGTGCCCGAGAGGTATGCGCGCATGACAATTTGCCCGTTTACGTCGGCCCGCAGCACCGTGCCCGTCGCCGACATGAGGAGGTTCACGTCCTCGATGACGTCCACAAACGCCTCGTTCTTGCGGTACTTGATGTCCGATCGTCGCCAGGAGAGCGCGCCCGTAGCCTGCATGGTGATCTTGGAAGAGTCCTCCTACGGCGAGCCGTCCTGTTAGCAGTTGTCATAGCGAAGCCCATAGCATTGCGCGGGGGAGGGGACGACTATTACCATTGCCCTTTCAGACTTGACGCCCTCGGTCGTGATGTACATCTTCAGCGTCTCCGTTTCGGTGTTCTGCGGATATCCGAAGTCGAGGATCTCTGCATGCAGCGCCCCCGGTCAGCCGTCGTCCACCCTGAGCCAGGTCGGCATGACGTACCATCGAGCAGCTCGTAGACCAGCACAAAGTTGTTCTTGACAGCCTCCTCATCGAACTTGCCAAAGTAGGCCTTACCCAGGCCGACGAGGCGGTAGAGGAACTCAAACACCAGCGCGGCGTTGGCGTTGCTCTTGGTCACGGCAACCAGGTAGATGTTCTCGTGCTTCACATGGCTGAAGGTGGTGGAGCCGAGGGTCAGAATGGGCGAGCGCACTTGCGCATTGCTGATTACTTGGATGCGGAAGACGTCGGCGAGACGGGGGCGGCAGTCGTTGCGAAAGGCGCGGAAGATGAGGTTCTCACCCTTTTGGTTGAAGATCAGGATGCCGGAGAGCCTGGAAGCACAGGGGATCAGCGGGGGAGGCGTGGGCGACGAAGCAAGGAAATCTCACATTGTCGCAGCGAAAAGAGAGAGAGAGGGTGGTGGTTGCGGGTAGGCGAGAGAGCGAGGGGTGATTAAAGCGCGCGCGCCTGGGGTGGGAGGATCCGCGGGCGGGCAGGGATTCGCCATTAGATACTACCTACCTATACATAGTACTACATCCGACGTCACAACCAAACACCACCATTTATACATCACACAGCACCACGTTGCCACTACTCTAGCTAGCTAATGTACACTGACGAGCAACAGCGTCAAGGGTAATGCAGGTAAACAATCGCTCAAAATTCGGCGTCGCACCAACTCCGGCCCGTCCACCAGATCCGTCTCTCCTTCTATATCAGGTCACGCTTGACAAACTCGGCGTGGAGCGCCTTGCCGAGGGCAGCGGGGCTGCGCTCGACGACGACACCCGCACCCTCGAGAGCAGTGATCTTCGAGTTGGCATCACCCTTGCCGCCAGAAACAATGGCACCTATTTTCCGCATTAGCCACGCGCATACCACAAGTCGAAACGCATCATCCAAACTCACCAGCGTGACCCATCCTCCTGCCAGGAGGCGCCGAGATACCAGCAATGAAGCTGACAACGGGCTTGCCCATGGTGTTGTTGGCCTTGAGGAAGTCCGCGGCGTCCTCCTCGGCGGCGCCACCAATCTCACCAATCATGATGATGCCCTCGGTGGCCTCGTCCTTCAGGAAGATGTCCAGGCAGTCGATGAAGTTGGTGCCGGAGAAGGGGTCACCACCAATACCGACGACGAGGGACTGGCCAAGACCGGTCTGGGTCGTCTGGTTGACGGCCTCGTAGGTCAGAGTACCGGAGCGGGAGACGATACCAACGCGGCCGCGCTTGTGGATGAAGCCGGGCATGATACCAATCTTGCACTGACCCTGATGGGGGGATCAGCGACAACTCCTACCTAATGCGCATGCGCTGAGTGAGAACGTACCGGAGCAATGATACCGGGGCAGTTAGGGCCAAGCATGCGCGTCTTGCTCTGGGTCTTCAGCATGTCGGTGATGCGGACCATGTCGTGCTGGGGGATACCCTCGGTGATGCAGACGACGAGGGGCATCTCGGCCTTGATGGCCTCCTCAATGGAAGCGGCCGCAAGAGGAGGCGGGACGAAGATGGCGGAAGCGTTGGCGCCGGTCTGCTTCCTGGCATCCTCAACCGTCGCGAAAACGGGCTTGCCGAGATGCTCGGAGCCGGCCTTCTTGGGGTTGGTACCGCCGACGACATTGGTGCCTGATAACTTTTTGTCAATATCCGTTATCAGAGGGCGGAAGCTCGAGGCGGCATACCGTAGTCGATGGCCTGGGTAGCGTGGAAGCTGGCTTTGGATTAGCATTTTTCGGCGGCGGTCGCAGGCGGGAACGGCGAGCACGTACGTTCCCTGCTTGCCAGTGAAGCCCTGGAACAGGACCTTGGTGTCCTTGTTAATGGCAAGGTTGACGTTGGTGGAAGCGTAGGGCGAAGAGGCGGTCGAGTAGGCCTGGCGGCGGCCGGCAGCAGCCAGGGCCGAGCAGAAGGGACGACGAATGGCCTGCATCTTGGACTCTGCTCGCGGATAGAGGAGAGGGGAGAGATGAGAGGAGGGAGGGGTTGTGGATGAGAGGACGGTTAGAGTCGGTGTTGGTTTGCAAGCTTCGCGGAGATGCGCAAGGGCCGGGCGGATTTTCACAAGCGCGGCGACGGCCTTTCCGATATGCGGGACATCCGCCACTACGACACCAACAACAACAACATCACCACCATGGCAACCCTCACCCTCACAGAGGCCCGCGTCCCTCGTCGCCTGCCCAAAAATGTCAAGCTGCCGCCCGAGAACGAGCGCTACATGCGCGCCTGCGCCGACATTGCCAGCGCCCTCATCCAGGACTACGAGGCCCAGCTCGACAGCTCCAAGCCCAAGCGCGACATCAACCTAAACGCCCTGCGCGGCCAGATGGCCAAAAAGCACTTCCTCAGCACCCAGCCGCCGCTGACGGCCATCATCGCCGCCGTGCCCGAGCACTACAAGAAATACATTCTGCCCAAGCTCATCGCCAAGCCCATCCGCACCTCGTCAGGCATTGCCGTCGTCGCCGTCATGTGCAAGCCGCACCGCTGCCCGCACATTTCCTACACGGGCAACATCTGCGTCTACTGCCCTGGTGGTCCCGACTCCGACTTTGAATACTCGACTCAGTCGTACACGGGCTACGAGCCGACATCTATGCGCGCCATCCGCGCGCGCTACGATCCCTACGAGCAGGCGCGTGGTCGCGTCGACCAGATCAAGAGCCTGGGTCACAGTGTCGACAAGGTCGAGTACATCATCATGGGCGGCACCTTCATGTCGCTGCCGGAGAGCTACCGCGACGAATTCATCTCGCAGCTGCACAATGCGCTGAGCGGCTACCAGACGACCAACGTCGACGAGGCCGTGGCCGCCGGCGAGATGAGCAACGTCAAGTGTGTCGGCATCACCATCGAGACGCGCCCCGACTACTGCCTGGACCAGCACCTGAGCGCAATGCTGCGGTACGGGTGCACGCGGCTCGAGATTGGCGTGCAGAGCCTGTACGAAGACGTGGCGCGCGACACGAACCGCGGACACACTGTCGCGGCCGTGGCAGAGACGTTCAAGCTCGCCAAGGACGCTGGCTTCAAGGTCGTCTCGCACATGATGCCGGACCTGCCAAACGTGGGCATGGAGCGCGACCTGGACCAGTTCCGCGAGTACTTCGAGAACCCCGCCTTCCGCACCGACGGACTTAAGATCTACCCCACGCTCGTCATCCGTGGCACCGGCCTGTACGAGCTGTGGCGCACCGGCCGCTACAAGAACTACACGCCGAACGCGCTGGTCGACCTTGTTGCGCGCATCCTCGCCCTCGTGCCCCCCTGGACCCGCATCTACCGCGTGCAGCGCGACATTCCGATGCCGCTGGTGACGGCAGGCGTCGAGAACGGCAACCTGCGCGAGCTGGCGCTGGCGCGGATGAAGGACTTTGGGACGTCGTGCCGCGACGTGCGGACGCGCGAAGTCGGCATCAACGAGGTGAAGAACAAGATCCGGCCGAACCAGGTAGAGCTAGTGCGGCGCGACTACGTGGCCAACGGCGGGTGGGAGACGTTCCTGGCGTACGAGGACCCCAAGCAGGACATATTGATCGGGCTGCTGCGGCTGCGCAAGTGCAGCGTGTCGCACACGTTCCGCAAGGAGCTCACGGGGCAGCCGACCAGCATGGTGCGCGAGCTGCACGTCTACGGCACCGCGGTGCCCATGCACAGTCGCGACCCCAAGAAGTTCCAGCACCAGGGCTACGGCACCCTGCTCATGGAGGAGGCGGAGCGCATTGCGCGCCACGAGCACGGCTCCAAGAAGCTGTCAGTCATCTCGGGCGTCGGTGTCAGGAACTACTACCGCAAGCTGGGTTTCTGGAACGATGGCGTTTACATGAGCAAGTGGCTGAACGACGAGGACGCGGAGGACGAGAGCAGCGACGAGGAGGCCTAGACGGGAGGAGTGAGGGGCTGCTCGAAGGCGCATCCATGCATTTCCAGGCGTTAAAATGGGCGGGGCGGGATGGTGTGGCTTGGCGGAGCATATATGGTGTTTTTTGTTTGATGGCATAAGAGTACGAAGTGAAAACAATGGCATTACGTGGGGACAGACACGGGCACGGGTTTATGGAAAGCATTCGTTTAGAGATGAATAGAGGGAAAAAAAGAAAGCCGAGCTGGGTGGGCGCGTTGACGGCACGCGTCTTAACTACACAGTACCTACCTACCTACCTAACGTAGTTGACAGAAGAGCAAGGACACACGCCATTGAACAAGTAGGCACAGTACAACCTCCGAAGACAGCGCTCTTCTGCGGATGCACATGTGGACAGATACTCCAGTGCCCACTTCCCTCGCCGCCAAAGCCACGCGCCCTAGCTCGCGTGCCCACTTCGTCCGTTGCCCGTCCGCCCATCCGTCGCCGCAGAGGCTCGCACTGCCGCACTAGCGCAGGTCCTGCCGCCCGTCGGCGCCACTGGCCTCGTGGCTAGGTACGCTTCGGCCGGCACGTGGCTGCGTAGCGTGCGTACCTATGTAGTATGGGTCTGCGCGACGGATGGGGTTTTGGTTACAACTTATGCGTGAGCTGATGGAGGGAGGGAAGGGAGGAGGAATGTAAGGGTAGAGAGGAGGGGGTCATGCGAGGTTGGTTCCTGTGCCTTCCACCGTTCACTTAACCACCCAGGCTTCTTCTGGCTGGGGGGAACTGCCTACCTAGGTAAAAGCATTCAAGACGACGGGAGGGACATGGAGGGCAAACCAAACCCAGCCAGTCGTCTTTCCCGGATGAGAAAACGACCTTGTCGCTCTGGTTGTTGGAGTGTCGGGCGCCCACTCCACCCTGATCCCGTCCAAGTGCAAGAGCAGTGGGATCGAACACTGGAGTGGCACTGGAGATGGGCAAGACATTCGCGCCCATGACGCTGGCTCGCAGATGGGTCCCTATGCTGGCATGAAGCTCATCGCGGCGCGCTTCATGCCCAAGCCCAAGCCCAATATCCGACCGCGCTGCGCGGTGCTGCCGCCAACTGAGCGCATGGGGGAGTACAGTACCTAGGTAGGTACACCGCACACGAGCACGAGCACGAGCAGGCGCAGCGCCGGAGCCCGCGACGACGATCTCCTGCGTGTCTGCCTGCTTGCCTGCCTGCCTGCCTGCCTGGAGCAGATCAGCATCGGGCAGAGCATACCTATACTCCGGCTGCGACGCGGTCAGGCGGACAAGGCAGCAATGCGGTATGTAAGACGGAAGAAAAGAGCGAGAGAGGGAGGGACCTAGAGAGTGAGAGTGACCTAAGCCACCTAGGTAGCATTCAGGAACCAGGAGGCAAACCTCCGCACGAATGGCAGAGAGAGTATAGACGCGGGGCCCCCATGCCATGCCATGCCATGCCCGCCAACCAAGATGCTACCTACGGATCCGTACCTACTTTACTCGAGCACACACACACACACACACACACCCGGCACCAACCACGCGCGCGCCCACGCGCCCGCCGCCCTACCCGCTCCCCTCCTCCCCCGTACCCAGGTCCCCGGACGCCGCATGGCATGCAGCGAAGCGTACCTAGCGAAGCGCAGCGCGACCACCCAACCCACGGCCCTCGCACCACCACCGCCGCCGCCCTCTAAGCGCCATACCCGCCTTCTCCGTCGGCGGCACAGACGCAGACGCACCAAAGCCACGCAAGAGCAACGCACCAAGCAACCGCACCGCGTGCCGGCCACGCGCCCCCGTGGATCAGCACTAACGCCGTACCTACGTACGTGCCTACCTACCTACCTACCTAGCTAGGCAGGCAGTGTATCTACTGCACTGTACAGTACAGTAAGCAAAGCAAAGCAAAGCACCTAAGAGCGCCTCAACACCGACACCGACACCGACACCGACACCGACGCGCTGAAACCCCCGCACCGCACGCACGCGGTAGGTACCTAACAAGTGCGGAGAAGCAGAGCAGCAGGCAGCAACCAAGGCAAGCGACAGCACCCACCTACGTACGTACCTAGCAGCGGAGTTCGCGGCGGCCTCCGGCGGAGACTTGCGTGCGTGCGTGCGTAGGTACAGCATGGAAGGAAAGCGGAGAAAGCAGCAGCAGTGCCAGAAGGAGCAGCTCGTCCGTGTGTGCGATGTTGCACTGCGTCAGTGGTGGCAGTAACTAGCAGGAGCAGAGGAGAGGAAAAGACTTAGGGAGCAGATCCAAGCATGCGTACGTACGTATGTACATAGGCAGAAAGCCGACGAGGGAGGAGGCCGAGAAGTTGACCGGGGAAGGAACAAGCCATGCCTGTTGTCGCACACCCGTACCCACCAACCTACCCAACCAACCCAACCACACACATACACATACACACCTTCTTCCTGCAGCGGCAGACGCCCACCTCCTCACGCCGCCGCTTCGGCAGGCGGGGGCGGGGCGCGCCGCCACCCTTGTGCCTGCAGCAAGCAGCGTGCGTGTGTGCCTGAGCCTGCAGTGCGTGAGCCCGTCCACCGGTACACGCACATAAGATACCTACCTATGCATCCACACCGCGCACCGCATACACACACACAACGTCGCACACGTACACTATTTCCCCAACCAACGCACACGCGTTCCACTCCAAGTCTTTTCTTTCTTTCGATAGTCTGTTCTGTTCTGTCTGCCTCTCTGTTCTCTGTCCTCTCTGTGTCTCTCTCAGCTCTCAGCTCTCTCTCTGCTGCTGCCGCCCTGCGTAACAGTAACAACAACGACAACGACATCATCATCAACAACAACAGCAAACTAGGTACTAACTCCCCGCGCGCAAATTGTGTGCCAGCCAGCCAACCAACCAAACCACCCCATTAAATCGCTCAACACCATCGCTAAATGTTCGACCAGCCAAATATGCAATCCAGAAACAAAAAA